CTGGATATTTGTTGAGAAATGAATGTGCGTAGAGGGTAATCTTCTCTGCCATGTTTGTTTTAGCAAAACACTAGAAACATCCCTAACCTATCCTTCATTAAGTGGTTGTTAAATAAATTATCATCCATCTATCTATCTAGTGGAATTCTCTGCTGTTCTCTATTTAACAGCTGGGAAGACTCCAAGTACTGATGTGCAAAGGTCACCAAGCTACGTGGTTGGCTGACAAAAGCAACTTGAATAATGTTGTGTTGAAGAGACTCCTGATGTGTGCAAAAATAATACACACAAAAAAATATGCATTGGCTGTATGGCTACCAAAACTTTCTGGAAGGGGGTGCCAGGATTCTAGAATAGAAAAGAGATTTATTTTATATATATTTTTATATTTATTTATATGTATATATATGTATGCACAGAAAATGAATTTTTAATTATGCAGGAGGAAAAGATACATACACGCAGATATGGAAATATACTAGATATCCTAAAGGAAAACAAAATGGCACTGATGGATTTATAAAACCAATCTGGATAAACCAAAGCACCCACAATGTTCCTGAATGGGAAAACAAGGTATTGTTAACATGCCGATTCTCTCTCAATGTCATCTATTATTTTAATGTGATTCTGACTTAACTCTCAAATCTATTCCTTTTGAGTCCTGACAAAAATATTTTTAAACTCAACTGGAATACTACATTTTCTAGATTAGTCAAGAACATTTTTAAGAACTAGATTAAAGTCTAGGGTGGAAGTGGGGGTAATGCTTACTCTATAATTTATAAAAATGTATTACAAAGGTATGGTAATTAGAGTGGCATAGTTTGGGAATATGAGTCAATAGACAAGGAGTGGGAAAGAATGAAAAGTTTGCATACAGACAAATAGATATACATATGATAATGCTGGTAGAGAAGATACTGGTTATTTTTGACCATCCAGTGTACATTTCCTTCCTTCCCCACGACCTTTCCTAACAGCACCTGACTTTGCTTTTAGGAATTACCTCTTAAAAACCCATTGGGAGGTAGAGCCAAGATGGTGGCATGAGTAGAGCAGCAGCAATCTCCTCCCAAAACCACATATATTTTTGAAAGTACAACAAATACAACTCTTCCTAAAAGAGAGAGCAGAAGACACAGGACAACAGCCAGACTACATCCACACCTGTGAGAACCCAGTGCCTC